CAGATCCTCACGATCAACGGCAACTGTTGGTCCACTGCGGCTTCGCTGACAAAGGAGTTTGAGGCTCGCATAGTACTTGTTCAAGAACATAAGCTTCATGGTCAAGGCCTCTTCGGGGCTAAAGAAAATGTGGGCAAGCTTGGCTGGAATAGTTTCTGGGCGCCATGCTGCATCACGCAGCGCTTGGCATGTTCGGCTGGAGTGTGCATCTTGGCCAGAGCTCATGTTGACTTATGGCAGCAACCGGGTCGGGAAGGGCCTCTGGTGTAACATGGTTTTCTACAGGTCTTCTTTCACTCGACGGCGCTGGGGGTTGTCTCCATATAGTGCGGATATTGGAAGGGCGGAGAAGGCCTCGGACAAGCCGATGTTCACAGTGTGAGCGTCCTGGGAGAAGACGTTCCACGCAACGATCTACCCTGCATTGCAGGTGGAGATTTCCTTCCAGGAGGGCTTCGGGCCCCGCGAACTAACGGGCCAACTTCTGGTTCCAACGCCGGCGATAGCATGCGTGGCATCTAGTCCAGGCGCGTGCTTCGATTATTGTCTTGTTGGGGAGTCATTGCGAGCATGTATTGACAACGTCCGCGCAGAGATGGACGAGCATATCTTTTCTCGCCGCCCCGTCTTCCTGGCGCTCAAGGAAGGCGTCGACTGCGTCAAAGTGAAGAGGCTTCGCCAGTTTGCGCGAGTGCCCGTCGACCTTCCCATCGGCCCTGCACGGGAGTCTCCGAACTACTCTGACTTGGAGGAACGTTTGGAGGCTACATTGGGACCCTTGGAGGTTGAGGGTGGCTACGGGCTGCCAGACTCATCTGAGGGATCGGATCCTCAGTATGCTTTGGGTGGCATTTATGAGGCTTGGAGTGATCGCGCGTGGGGTGGGGGGGCTGGGAGATTCCTTGCAGTGCTTTCCTGAAGGTCTTCGAGGCGGCTCTAGCCATCAGGTTGTGGACATACCTCTAGGGGAGCTCTGCGCCAGAAGGTCACCGACTCGGAGCCCATATCGAGCCCTCCATTGGCTAGCGCGACGCGTTCACGAACTCTACTCTTTGGCTTCTAGCGGTAAATATCTAGCGAATGCAGAATATTGCAGATATTGGTTCCATCATCGCACGGCGCATCGGTCCACGGTGGAATCTTCAATTATCATTTCCTGGTGGGAAGTTTCTCTGGCTAGGGCTCCTCCAAGCTGCTCTGGTTCCTTTGCGTAGTACGGGCTTCATGTGGTGTCCAGAGCTGGTGGCAGAATCTCTATTCTCACCATATCAGTTTGCGCATTTGAATGCAGAAGCTTGCCTACCACGGGAGCGACGAGATCGCGCCCTGAAGTGGAAGGACTGGTGCACGGAGGCGCTGGCAGGTGGAGCCAAGTGGGCACGCGCCTACAGCGAGGCCGCCGAATCCCGTCGCCAAGGTCTAGTAGGGACGGATGGGGGGAGTCATACTTCATGTCTCACGTCGCAGTTGGAGGAAAAGGTGAAGTCGCGGTCAAAGGCATGGGGGGGGGAGGGGGGAGATCCACGCCAGACCCTAGATGGCCAGCATAGATGATATTCCCACAAGGGCCTGGCGCCGATGAGGTGCGGGCCCTTAGCAAGTCTCTCACGAGAGCTACGATAGCTGCAGACGGTGTTCACCCTCGGCATTATCACCTTCCGTGCCGGCCTGCAGCTGGCGTTCCCTGTCAGATAATGTGCCCCATGGCGGTTCTTGGGGCGGCTCCGACCTGGATGCGCGCGCTTCAGATCGCTTTATTTCGACAGCCTCTTGTCAGTAGTCGGCCTATCGGATTCTATTCATCGTTGATGCGAAGGACGTCCAGATGGCATTCGCGCTCTTGCAAGGAATGGGGGGAGCGCATCCAGGATTTGTTTGTTGTTTGTTTGGGTACGGTGGCGCCGAAAGTGAGTCCTGCTGACTCTCCGTGGAGGCAGGCGCGTCGTGGAGATCTAGCTGCGGGAGGCACGAGGCATGTGCTCTCTTTCCTGGGAGATTTGAAACAATGTTATGAACATGTGCAAAAACCGCAGCTAGTTCGCACGGCGGTTGAATGGAAGTTCCCCCTTCGCTCGCTCGGATTTGCCCTGCGCGCGTACGGGTGGTCCAGAATTTCAAGCGTGGATGAAATGGTTTCTGAGCCGATCGAACCAGGACAAGGGGATTGTAGCGGGGAGTAGTACTGCAACATTCGAGATCAAGTGCTACTGCGTCCCGTGTGTGAATGCATAACTATCTAGAGGCTTTGCCCCTACGCTTACGGTTCATATGGATGATTTTGGTTTGAACGGATATAGCTCATGTATTTCAGAATGTGTATCCAACATGGCTGTGGCGCTTGCATTCCTGGTGGCATTTCTATCCAGCTTATTCAGTTTACCATTCTCTCTCAAGAAGTTCTGCGTGGCGGGGGCGAGTGTTGAATTGGTTCGATCAGCTCTAGCAGCTCTCTGGAAGTGCGCGGGCACTTGCGACCCCGCCATCGTCAATTTAGGGGTGG